CCCGACCGACAAACAGTCAGTGTGGGCGGAAATCCCTGGTTGGCGCAAAGAGCGGAGCGTGGAAGATTTGCTCCACTTGAGTAGAGTGACCAGTTTTGCTATTTGCGTCGTTCACTTTGAGCAGCGCTGGAAAAACTTCGACTGGTTGCAAATGAAATAAAAACGAGAGAAACGACCCCAAACCCTACAAGTAGGCAACTGCAACGCCATGGTGTTCCAGAAAAAGGAGTTGTTAATTGTCCAAGGATTGCAATCGCGTCCCTGGTCATCGACACCATCGAGGAGCACTTGGGCCATGGCATCTGCCAGGCATTGCGGATGAGCTGTCCAAGGCCTTTGAGCATTACAAGAAGTTCTGTAAACGAAACAAAATGCCTCCCGTTCAGCTTGGCCAAGTTGAACAGGAAACAGTACACGAACCTCAGGGTGTTGCCTGGTTTTCTTTACAGGCCCTATAGTCTGTGTGTGGCTGGCGTGAATTATGGGGCTTGAAGCCGGGTTGAGTCAAGTTAGGGGTTTTGACTACCGCCCATGTCCCTTTGCTGAGGCTACAAGGCCAACGTTGTCAAAGGCATGGTTTACTGGGTTGCCGACTACTTGAATACGTTCAAAGACAGCCAGTTGTAGGTTTCAGAGTATTTGTGACAGTGCCTTTGCTGCACACTAATTGGGCTCCAGGCCCACATGGTCGGCTTCTTGTCACGCGCTGCATTCAGTACCTGAGGATCGCCGGAGTGGTTCTCTGACGAAGCTGGCAGGGAAGCCGCCACCCAAATTCGCAATTTCCTTCAACTTTATCAAAGCTTGGCGGCGCAGGCGCAGTCAGCAAAGAAGAACGACTACCATTTAGTTCCGAAACTTCATAATTTCGGTCACCTATCATCTTACATAGATGAGACTGGTCGTAACCGAAGGTTTGACCATTTGTATACAGATCAGGGGTTGATGGGATGCGTGGCAAAGATAGCTTCAGCTACCGGGCCCATTTGGATGTGGTACATAGCCTGGTTGCCTTGTGGCCTCTCAGAGCCACCCGCTCAGCCCGCGGCAAGTAAAAGCCAAAGCAGCTGTCGCCCATCACATCGGCGTGGCGTGTCAACAAGGTTTTTTGTTTTGCAGTGCCTCCCCAAAAACGAAAAAAAAACAACTAGACCACGGTTGGCCCGAAAGCATAACATCGCAAGCGAGGTCGGCCCAACGCTGCAGGATGCGTTCTTTTTCCCTCCACGAAGCATTTGTGAAGCAAGCGCGGGACAGCACCAGGCAAGGTGCTCTGCGCAAACTGGTCGGTGCAAGTTGGTCTGCGCAAGTTGCTCTACGCAAGTTGCACTGTGCAAGTTGCTCTGCGCAAGTTGCTCCGCGCAAGTTGCTCCGGCAAGTTGGTCCCTGCAAGTGGCTCCCTGCAAGTTGCTCTGTGCAAATTGCGCTCCCTGCAAGTTGCTCTGTGCAAGCTGCTCTGTGCAAGTTGCTCTGTGCAAGTTGCTCTGCGTAAGTTGCTCTGCGCAAGTTGCTCTAGGCAAGGCGCTCTGCGCAAACTGGTCGGTGCAAGTTGGTCTGCGCAAGTTGCTCTGTGCAACTTGCTCTGCGCAAGTTGCTCTGCGCAAGTTGCTTTAAAATGCAAGTTGCATCTTGCGACGCCCGCCCGCGGACCAGGGAGGAATCGAACCCGCGACCCGCCGGTTCCGGGAGCGAACCACGAGACAACTCCCGAGGACCAGTTCGAACAACAAAAGTCGCAAAAAACATTGAGTTTTTGCACCTCGAGCGCGAGCACCGCAGAAATCGCAAAAAACCTCGAGTTTTTGCACCTCGACCACGCCGATCCCCGCAGAGGGTTGCGCGGGAACACTTTAAATCGCAAAAAACCATGCGTTGAGTTTTTGCACCTCGACCACGCCGATCCCCGCAGAGGGTCGCCCGCAGAGCATGTTAGACCACGCCGATCCCCGCAGAATTTAGAAATCGCAAAAAAACCATGGGTTTTTGCACCTCGACCACGCCGATCCCCGCAGAGGGTCGCGCGGGAACTTTAGAAATCGCAAAAAACCATGGGTTTTTGCACCTCGACCACGCCGATCCCCGCAGAGGGCCGCGCGAGCACCGCAGAAATCGCACAAAACCATGGGTTTTTGCACCTCGACCAAGCATTTGCCGCCGTATCAGCCACTAAGAAGCTAAGGGGATGGCTGGGAGCCACCAAGAAACATGCTGTGGATGTTTGCGTGGTTGAGGCCACAACGCTTCTGAGTATTTACAACGGAATCGAATCAGAAACCTGGGCTTCTGGGGCGGCGCGCAAATCCACAGTGCCCTTACCTGGTGGCTTAGAGCCCGTCTAGAGTTCAAATCCCTCCAAACCACCAACCATTGCTGACCTGCCAATTGCTTTTTCGCGCCTTGGGCCCTGGGAAAAAGAAACAGTGACACACCCCCTCTAAAACCAACAGGGCATAATACAACATACTGTGGGTGGTTGCCAAATCCATTTCGCACCACCGTTCAGGAACCCTGGTTCCGGATTCGACTCCCCAACGTAAATACAAACAAGCCTTATGGCTTCTGTCCCATGGCTTCATTAACCGCGGTGCGGCTGATGGATTTGATTTCAACTACCCACATTATGATCCAGCAAATTGTTAAAATATTTGTGAGCGTGCCGGAGCCGGAAACCAAGATTAGGTTCTGTCTGCAAATATGCTCCTCCGCTCTGGTTTCTCGGTGCTCCCTTTTGCTTTCGCACTCTTTCCCTTCTTGCTTCGTGTTCTCTTTCTTTGCATTCGCCACTTTGTCTTTCTCTTCCTCCTTCTCTTCTGCTTCTCTTCCTCTATCTTTTCTTGTTGTCTTCCTCGTTTCTTGTTTCGCAGTGTCCCTGCTAGAAACAAAAATTGCAGCCTCTTTAGGGCTGACTTCTTGTAGCGCGCCGCTCGACAAGTAGAAGGAGAGCTACACCAGTTTTCTAAACTCATTTTTCCTCCCCCCCGAGCTCCAGGATCACTGACTGGGGCCCAGTACTTTTGGTCCCCCTACCAGTTCTTGGCCCCTATTTTCTAAGTTCTAGGATGTCCTGTTGCTTGCACACTTCCTTGACGATTAATTTGATTCTCTTGCTTAGGCCTGAACTTGTATGATAGGTCACTATATTTTCCACATTGGGATATGCATCTTAAGCCGTACGGTTAGTTAGTGTTTGCTGCTTGAGCATGAGTATGAGTAGCGCCATATGACAAGCCTCTGGTGCTACTGATGATGCAAGCTTGAAAGTGGTTTCTAAAAGCAGTGTTAGCTACAATATTCTCTAGCAACTAGCACCCACATTGATTGCTGCTCTTCTTTCGCCTGTCATGGGCCAGCACATCTGGCAACAATGGGCTTGGTTGCACTGGGGCTATGGTCCCATAAGCAAATTCTGTGCACTTTGCTTGTGGGCCGATTTGCGTCTTGTGTTCCCATCCTTGTGCATCACGCTCATGGCAAGGCAATAGGGTAGATCAGGATAGAACATCTTTGCGCAAGTGGCTTTGACATACATCTACACCTGTCACAGGTCATGCAAAAATGCAGCAGTGTCAGCAGGCAGCCAGCTTGCTATTGGCTAACATGGAGAGCTTAGCACGCACCAGAAGTGGAATGAAATGTGTGTGTTCATCAAACATCTCTGGCCCATTGCTCTTAGTTTTAAGTTTTTCCGTGGCTGACAAGAGACCGATTATCAGAAATTGTCTGATGACCCATGGAGGGTGAAGTAGAATAATTCATTCTGTCACCCATCTGCTTGTGTGAGCATACCATAGGCTACTACGTATGAAGTTGCAACAGATATCGCGACATGTGAGGGGTGAGGCAGGCCACTCCAAGCGGGCAGCCGCCCGTTGGGTGCTAGTAGGGCGTTGAAAGCCCTCCTACGCAAACTAGTTGCGCAAAAGTTGATATAGCAGGTAAGAAAATAACTGTCCAATTTGCAGGCTCCTTGCGGCCGTCATTTGCGTGAGCGGCTTGCCTTTAAATTCCTTTCGGTGCAACGCAGCAAGCAACTATGAAATGCAGCGGGGTGCGTTGTCAGAACCTTCTTTGCTGGAAGCAGCATCTTGGATTTCCACTTTGCATGATTGTAGCTCGCAAGGGGTTTCCCTTACCTCCTTGGGAATGAAATGAGCTTGCCACGGGCTGCCAAGCTGCAATCCTCAGGGATTAACTTTTCTATTGGCCATGGGTGGCTAGCAGCCCTCTTCCTATGGTCAACCCAAGAAAGCCTTACACCTTATGCTCATAGAACAACAATGGAACACTGAAATCCGCTGCGCCACATGAAATACACGGTTTTTGAAAAAAACAGATTTCACTGAGAAACGCAGGCCTCCACAGCGTCCCACACTCTATCCCCGACATTTCTTCCAGAACTCTAGCCGAAGTTCCTCCGCGTGTTTCCGGATCAACGCAAATGCAACTGGAGCCTTTCAAACACCCCCCTCCCGCCGCCGCATCTCGAGTTTTGACACATGTGCCCCCATGTTTGCCGCGAATATGCACGTAAGTTCGGCACCGGCCACCCATTTGTTATGAAGGGCTCCGTCCGGATGATCCACGGAACAACTGGGAAGGCATGCTTGCCAACGCAACTGGGAAAGGCCTGAGATCATCCAAGCAATACCAAACCATGACCAGTAAATGAGAAGCTTCTGACCACAAAGCATCACATGTATCGAACTGGGGAACTCACAAAGGATTGTCTCGGGTGTTCTTCCAACATAGCAAGTTTTTTCCCATGGTTCTAAGAGGCAGGCATACTGGTTGGGGCAGAAAATCCATCTAAACCTGTGGAACGCATCTGTTTCTAAGCAATCTATCCTTTCAAAAGCACACCCATTTTCCAGTAATGGGGTTAGAATAAGGGCACCCCTTTTTCTGTTGTCTGTAGGGGAACCCCCCAAAAAGAAAAGAACATGGCAATGGTGGGGACACACCGATCGATGGAGATCGCCCCAGCAGTTCCCAGTTCGGTCCTCAGCCTCCAGCAAGTAGTGGGCGCCTGATGGGTGCCAGCCCGTGTAGCAGTCGCAGTTCGAATATCCCGGCGTAGTGGACACCACGACCTCTGCCTGAAGCAATTCTGACGCGGCTCGGGTTTGTTTGGTGGGCTGAGATGGTTTGCCGTTGATTTGCGGTTCTAGGTGTTCCAGTACAGAAGTAGAATAAGGGTGCCCTTCTTCTCTATATGGGGACCTAGCGCTTGTCTTTGAGAAAGTTTCTTGACTTCTTCTCTGATCTGTTGGTTTGGGTTCTTTGCTGGAAAGGCCCCTCCGGGAAAAGAGTGAACTGCATAAGGACCTGCAAAGAAAGAAGCAAGCCGTCTGGCAAATGCGCCCAATGCCCTCCTTGCTACTTGTTCACTGGGGGCCAAAGAGTGCAAAGACTAGGTCCTCCAGTAGAGAGCTTTTTTCTGTAGTCGATTTTAGACCCTCCCCCAAAAACAGGTAAAAGGGCACTACTGGGGGACCTAGTCTCTCATGGTCAGAAATGTTGAAGGTGATTTTCCTGTTGGCTTCCCTTGCAAACCATCCCAAGCAAAACAGGGCACCCTCCAAAAACAAACCCATAAAAGCTTTACAATAACCGCACTCACGCAAAACCAACCACTAATGGCCATCAATGGAATGGGAATCGGTTTTGGGCGCTCACTGCAAGGCAGCATCAGGGACCAAATCAGAGCAACAAAGCGCAAATTGCGGGGACCCGGAAGAACTACCATGTCCTTACAGAACTCCTGGTAGCTCTCAAAGGCTCCCTCTGTAAAAACGATTTTGGATACTGTCTTTTTGGCCCCCCAACCCAAAACAAAGAGAACACATTTCTTCCAGATATACATATATATATATATATATATGTGGTGGGGTTCCTTTTGTTTCCATTTAGAGCTATCCAACAAGTTGTTGGATTTACTCCAAAAAGACGGGGCCTTACCACAAGGCCGGCCTTGTGATTCCCCGCGCTCAGGCCCTCGCACCAGCCGATGTAGCTTCTTGGCCGGTGAGAGTTCTCGTGGGCGTGGATGTAGACATCCTACAGGGAGGGATCCCGCTTTTCAGCAACCCCTCGCACAAACCCAGTGGAACCCATCTATCCCCAAGCAACCCATCCCCCCCAAAAGCACACCTAGGACCTCCAGATTTAAGAGGTTGGAATAAGCTGGTACCAACTTGTTTCTTTTTTGTTCCCCAAATAGTGTTTACACTAAAGGGTTCTTGCGGTAAGAGTTAAGTCGAGGTTCGAATGGCCCCGTGCGTAAGACGTTGTCTTCGGTGCGACGGTCTCGCGCGAAATGGAGGTTCGCGCTGCCACGTGCATCGCGCCGTGGCGCCGTTCACATTTTTTGGCTGGCAGGGGCCACAGTTGAAGGTTCGCGCGAAGACCTGGAAATTGCATGTATGCACTCTCGAGGCCACACTTGCGCCAGGCAATGCCTCAAACTCACCAACGGGATCCCGAACATATGCGTCTGCGCCTCTTTGTGCTTGGACGGTGCCCTCTTGGTGGTTGGTTGGTTGTTTGGTTGGTTGCGACTCCGGGCAAGACATATGAACCACTGTTTCGGTTGAGGAGTCAGCACTCCAGAGCAAGTGTGTGTTTGCTGCGCTGAAGACCTTGGCAGAAAAACAAGGCGAACTAAAGTTTGAATCAAGAGGGCCGAAGAGTCTCCCGCTGAGCTACTATAACCAGACAGACATTCTTTCTTACATCACACATAGATATACATAGATACACAGAGACACACACACAGACAGAGACACAGACACAGACACAGACACACAGACACACGCAGACACACACACACAGACACAGACACACACACAGACACACACACAGACACACACACAGACACACACACAGACACACACAGACACACACAGACAAACACACACAGACACACACAGACACACACAGACACACACACACAGAGACACACACACAAACAAACACACGCAAACACACGCAAACACACGCACACACGCACACACGCACACACACGCACACGCACACGCACAGACACACAGACACGCACAAACACACAGAGACACAGAGACACAGAGAGAGACACACAGAAAGACACACAGAGAGACACACAGAGAGACACACAGAGAGACACACAGAGCGACACACAGAGACACACAGAGACACACAGAGACACACAGAGACACACACACACACACACGCACACACGCACACGCACACGCACACGCACAGACACACAGACACGCACAAACACACAGAGACAAAGAGAGAGACACACAGAGAGACACACAGAGAGACACACAGAGACACACAGAGACACACAGGGACACACAGAGACACACAGACACACACAGACACACAAACACAGAGACACACAGACACACAGACACACAGACACACACACAATCAACATCCACCGCGCGGTCTGGACAACATCCGGCGACGATCTGACTGATCCAGCCACAACCCAGCCATGCCCCGACAAACGTCACGCAGCTGCCCTCCGGCCGCGATCCGGTCGCCGCCGTCAGACCACAATCTGCCGCGAGCGGTCCGCGATCCGGCAGGCCAAGATAAAGCCAGGATAACAAGGATTTCGCCGGAGGAAACGTCTTGTCGCCAGTATGTGCCAAATCTGCTGCTGGCCGCGGAGCGTAAGCGGACGGATGTTTTGATGAGAATCTGATTGCGCCGAATGCACAGAGCGCGCGCACAGAAATACAGATAGGCAGTCGTCAACATGCCAGGCGCAGCGCGGCTGTCAACACCCCAGGCCCAGGCACAGCTTCCAACCGCAGGCCGTTTCCAACAACGCATGCGCGGCTGTCAACAAACCCGGCGCAGGTTTCAACAAGCGCAGCATCAACTTGCAGACGTGTCAACAGCCCAGGCACAGCTCGCAACAGCCCAGGCGCAGCTTTCAACATCCCAGGCACAGCAGGCAACCTCCAACCAAAGCGAGCAACCGCCCAGCCACGGCCGTCGACATCCCAAACATCGCCGTCAACAGCCCAGGCCAAGCTGTCAATAGCCGAGGCACCGCGATCAACATCCCAGCTTTCAACATCCCACCGCCAACCAAAGCGAGCCACGGCCATCTCAAACATCGCTTTCAACAGCCCATGCGCCGTTCGAGTTTTTTCGTTTTCTTTGCTTGCGAATCGGTGTTTGCAAGTTGTCTCGTGGCTCGCGCAGCTGCTTTCACGATCGCGCGTTGTCTCGGGTTCCACCTGCCTGGCCCGCGGCAGCTCCGGCTTGAAAATCGCAACTTGAATTACGAAAGTTGCACGCGAAGAGCAAACCCAGAGCTCCGGCTGCATTCTCGGAACTTCTAAGCGCAAAGGTAGGACGCGCAGTGCGCTTCCGCAGCTCCAGCACGAAATTCGCAAATTCGATCTACAACAAGTAGTGTGCGAAGCCAGCTCGAACATCGCAACTTCAATTTTGAAGTGCGAAAGTCATGTTCGGAAAGCGCGCTCTCGCATCTCCAGCTCGAAAATCGCAACTTGCAAACTAAAACCGCCAGCCTTCTTGCGCAGCCAAACTGCACGCAGATATGGACCAGAGAGGTTGGCGAGAGAAAGGGACATGAAAGGTTGGGTGAGAGAGGTTGCACAGCATCATGCGCGAGACGGACCGTCACGCACAACATCATGAGCAGCATCATGCACGGCGTCGTGCGCAACGTCACTCGCAGCATCGTCTGCAACATCATTGCAGCATCATGCGCAGCATCACGCATAGCTTCACGTGCAGCAGCGTCAAAACACAGCGTGGCGCGCAAGAGAAGTTGACAGGAGAGATATTTTTCGAAGCTCGGCGCCAAGCTTGCTCATCAGAACTTGCAGAAGCTACGAAGGGACATTGATGTGCTTACGCTTGTTTCTCAGCTGCAGTGGGAGAGGTGTCAACGTATATTTAACGTCTTCCTATTCTTCCGGGCCACCCGTCGTCAAATTAAACCCAATACTATTTGGGGTCTCTTGCCGGGAAAATATAGTTTAGTAGGGCAGCCCTCCCAACCAAAAAGGGGAGAGAAGGGCACTACTGGGGGACCAAGCTTCTTGTCAACCCCTCTCAAAAACCCAGGGGAAACAGCATCGGTGGTTGAAACGAACGATGGAGAATCAACCCCTGGAGTTCTGCGAATTCGCACAGCCCAGGGAACTTGGGCCAAATAAAGAGACAAAAGACCCATCAAGACCCCTTTTTTTGGGATGATCGTTTTATTGGCTTTGCGCACCAAAAACAAAGCAACAAAGAGAGAGCCACTGACCAACTGGGACATTCATCATGGGTCCCCGAGTGCGCTCGTACTGGCTCAAGCACCAAAAAGCCAAACAAGATGCGAATGCGAACAGCACAGCACATTCAATAGAACAAAACAAGACAGAAGCTGAACAGGAACCCCCAAAGAATTAAGTCCATTACATGCAATGCTCAAGTGACGCCTTGTAATTACCAAACACACACATACACAAAACGGCAGGCAAGGCCAAAATCCTTCAATCAAAATCACGCTCTTGGGGTGTGGGGTGGGGGGGGGGAGTAAATCATGCTTGTTCAGCCGTACCCAAAATTCAATAGGCTGAAGGGAGAAATAAATAAGGACTCGGCGGGTAAGTTGGGATTCTTCAGATGAACAGTCTGTCCTATCATATGCTTCCGAGCGGAATGATTCTTGCCAGCTGTTGCATCAGTCCATGCCTATTTGCCATGATATAATCAATCAATTAAGATGCCTCCCTTCCCGCCTCCCTCCCCCCTTCCTTCCTTCCTTCCTTCCTTCCTTCCTTCCTTCCTTCCTTCCTTCCTTCCTTCCTTCCTTCCTTCCTTCCTTCCATCGCCTGCTAATTACTGCCACAACCTGACTTCTGACAAAAGCTTCATCTGTCTCCTGAAAACCTCAAGTAGCTTTCCAAGCGCCCAACAAGTTTTGAACAGATTGGACAAGGGCAACACTGCAAACCAGAAAGCGATAGATAGCGCAACCTTCTTGTTGGAGAATTCCAAGGATCTTGGCAGAGCAAGCTTGGGAAACCCTTACTTCGGCTAATGCGGCAACCCTCTTCCGGTTGGCCAAGAAGTTTAAGTCAAAGCTGGTTTGCCTTAAAATCAACCCAACAAGTATCAGAAACTCATGAGGCGCTCAGGCGTCGCAACAAGTTGAAGGTTCACCCCGCTCTGTCATCCTGACAGCGCCTACTCGGCCGTGACGTTTAAAGCCAAACATGGCACGTCAGTCCCAACCCGACCCGATGAAAACTCCCCCCGCGCCTAAAAGCCAGCTGGTATTTAAAATGGGGCTTGAAATGGCGAGCACAAACCTAAAGTCTAAAACCCCAAAACCCTGAAACCAAAGAATCCCCACTCCCTGAAATCCTGAACCCTGAACTAATTCAGCTGAATCCTCAGAAACATCATTCCTGCTATTTGAATTTAGTATCCGCCTTCCACGGATATCGCCGGCATGGTCGTCCTTTGCTCTGATGGAGCATCCGGCAAGAATCGGAGCTAACAAAGTTTCAAGCTGCTTTGCTGAGAAGTGGGTGTGTCCTGTTCTGAGGGTCCAGGGTAATTACAAACTTGTTGGTAGGAACAAACACAACTTTGATGGGCTGTCCTCAGATCCCTGCTGAAAGTTTAATGTTTCTGGGCTAAATCGAAGCCCGCTAACCCCCCCCCCCCAAAAAAAAAAAAAAGCATAACACCTAAGCGGGCGGATGGGAACCGCCAAGTTTGGAGGCCTCCAAAAAGTTCACACCCATAACTCCCCTAGTCCCCTGGCCCCGCGGTTCACGCACGAACCACTTGCCGCTGAGCATCTCCAATCATCGGGCCAGATGGGCACTCCTTCCCGTCAATGGTCACATGCCATCGGCAAGCGCAGTACCCCCTGCAATCAAAATTTGTGCGGGTGGACCAAAATGGGATGCCCATTGAACAACCACCAAAAAAGATGCCCTTCACCACAAGAACGTGAAACAACTACCTGTGGTCGTTTGGGGGCCAGGAATACTGATCAAACACCAGTTGAAGCCAAAAGATAGAACAGACTCAGAATACACCCCTGACATCTACCGCCATGACAATTCCTGTGTGGATGGGCTTCGTATTGCAAACACCTGCCTCCGAAAGGTGTCAGCGTAGGAATCCAAGAAATGGGACGAACCATCCCCTTGTCTGGGGTTACCTCAATCAAGGCGAGAGGGAGTGGTTTGGATGGTATTGGAAGCCTCTTTTGCGATTGTGCGGCTTTCCAATGACTTTTGTAATCCTTTCCACAAGCCTCTCCCAAGGCTTGCACGCAAATTTCGTTTGTTGCGGCCCCCATTTGCAGAACTTGAGAGACGGACTGAAAATCTCAAAGCTGGCACCGCTGGCTAGTGACGCCGCCTTTTCACCAACGTGCTCTAAACAAGTGTCTGCCCCCGCCCCCCCGGCTCGGCGCTCGCGAACCAGGAATGTTAAAATGGAAACTGAAGCAGACGGACAATTCGTCTAGATGCAACGGCAGCGGACAACATAAACCAGGAGCGTCGAAATCGCAAGCCTAACGGCCTAACGGCATCTAACGGCAAAGCATGCGGGCGCGCAATGTGCAACGGCAGCGGGCAAAACAGTCCAGCCCAGACAGCCGCCCCCCGTCTACAATCTCAAACAAGGCCTCTTCAACGCCAGCTCTTAGGACGAACTGACACAAACAAAATAGCTCTATGCTTCTTAAGGAGGATGCACTTGGGCCATCCCGCTGGTTCAGAGTATCCTTTCACCGGAACCCTGTTTTGAAGGTGGGGCCATTCCGTGCCCGGGGCCAAGGCACGCGGAGTGGGCCCGGAGGGTGTCCGAGAAGAAGAGCCGCACGCGGCTGTCCGCTTGCTTCTTCTTGAAGTTTAACGTGCGCCCATCCACCTTGATGTTTGGTAGTCATGTCTTCGCACCGATTGGAATGTCGTTTATCCCGGTAGGCTGATTTATACCTCTCAACTGGTCTAAGGATGACTCAAGTGAGGGTTCATAGCCTGACTCACACCTCAGACCCCCCGCCTCAAAAGGCCTTCACCCAGAACCCCCACCCCCCAACCCCTCCCCCCCCCCCCCAACAGAGAGGGCCTAATCCTTGCATGGACCTCAAATTGGTGGTTTGGATTGGTGGTTTGGTGGTTAAGGAGCGGTTTCCCTTTTACCCGGTACAAACGCCAGGCGTTCAAATCGCCAAACCACCAATCCAAACCACCAACACAGGGATACCTGATGACTGTCTGACCACTATGTAAAGTGTATTTGCTCCATCTTCCCTTGGGGTAGAGCTGGGTGGATGCATGCCAGTCTGCCCCTAGAAAACAAGACGCAAGGAAACCCACAACTGGCAGAACAAAACATCAAACACAAAACGTGTTCAACAAAAAACACGGCCAGCTTTAGAGAAACAAACGAACAAGGGAACCCACAAGTGTTTGACAGAAAGACATGAAAGCCAACCAGCCTTTTCC